TTGAAGGACAACCAACTGGGGGCCCCTGTTGAGGGTGGGATGTGTGTGGAGGGGGGGCTTGGTGATGGGGACATCTCACAGGGCTCCCGCCCAGTGTCGAGCTCGGTGGTTGTGTTTGTCTTACACGTTACCTCTGTGCTTCTGTGGGTGTGAGACGCTCTGGTGACTTTCTATTTTTAAGATTTTATTTTATTTTTGTTTAATTATGCATATAAGAGCTGGGCCAGGGGGTGAGAGGACTCACCAGAGACATTGTGGGGAGCAGAACAGGTGGATCTACTGAAATACACTGCTGAGGGGAGCAGCGGGGAGGCAGGAGAGGTCTGCTGCGCCCTGTGGGTAGCTCCCTGGCCGGGGATCGAACTCATGCCACAGTGGCTGTGGAGAGCTTCATTGTGCTGAGACTTAACGCCTTGCAAAACCCAGGAGGCCTGACCCTGGTGATTTTTGGAGACAGACGTGAAACATATGAATCTTGTTATTAGAGCACTTATTTAATTAATGAAAACGCAGGCCCTCACTATTGCACCACCATCTACACCTATATCTTGGTGGGGCGCGGATATGAAACTTTCCTGATTACAAGTGCCCTACGTGGCCCAAAAGATAATTTGAAAACTACAGAAAAACATTAAGAAAAATGTATTACCATCACCCTTTAATTGCATCCCCCATTTCATTTTATGTTTTACATTTAGATATGTGATCATTGGGAGTCATTTTTAGGTCAAGGTGTTCCTTTTTTTTCTGCAAATGGAGCTCCAGCTACTCGCTTCAGGGTGCATCACTATTTGAAGGTTTTTCTAAGCGGCTCCTCTAAGCATTGCAACACACTCATATGACTCTTGGTTTGCATGCCTCAGTCTCACCCCTTGGAAGGTGGGACTGTATTGCCACCTATGCCCTTGGCCTTATCTCACGCACTGCAGACACACACATCCAACATCTTGTTGGTCAGTTTTGTAATTTTTATTTTATTTTTAAAATATCTATTTATGCATGCAAGAGCTGGGGTACAGGCCAGAGGTGCGGGTGGGGCAGGGGTGAGAGGATTCACCAGAGTGGGGAGCAGAACAGGCAGATCCACTGAAATCCACTGCTCAGGGGAGCAGTGGGGAGACAGGAGAGGTCCTCTGTGCTACGCGGGTAGCTCCCCGGCCAGGGATCAAACTCGTGCTGCAGTAGCTGTGGATTGCTTCATAGCGCTGCATCTTAACCCCTTGCACCACCAGGGAGGCCCCATCAACCGTATTTTAAAGACCCTCCAAGGATATGCTAGGCTCTCCGCTCCCACTCATTTATCCACAAGCTTGTCATCTTTTGCTGTTCTTTAGGCTGATGTTCCAAGTTCCCTTCTCTTACTTATCATGGATCACCCTCTGTCTGGAAACTTCCATGGCAACGATTTCAGAGCAGGTCTAAAGGGTAAAAAGCCTGCTTAGCTTCCTTAATATCTGACTGTCATTTCTAAAAACTGTCTTCTTTGGGTTTACAATTCTGCATCAACAGTTCGTTTCTTCTAGTACTTAAATAGTGTGCGCCCTACTTCTGGCTTCCTAGGTGTTGTTTGTTAAGAGGAGAGACCCACTGCTATTTGAATGTTGCTCCCTACAAGTGTTGCGTCAGTTTCCAACTCTTTTTTTAAGGTTTCGGTAGTTTGATTTTGTCTGGTATGACTTTTTTGGACCTCTTTAGAGTTCGTTGAGTTTTTTTAATGCGTGGATTTGTGTCTTTTGCCAAATGTGGGATTTTTCAGTCATTATTCCTTCAAATAAATTGTCCAAAGAGAATTTGATCGATGCTAGAATCGCAGTGATGTGAATGGTATAATTCTTCTCTACTATTTACAGGCCCCCGAGTCCCTTGCTCCTTTCTTCCTGCCTTAAGTTTGTTCTCAGTTCTTCAGATTGGATACTTTTCATTGATATGAACTGACACCTGCTGAGTTTCCTCTGCTCTCTCCATTTTACATTTGAACTCATTTAGTGGTTTTGTTTGGTTAGATTATTATTATAGATCTAATCCTTCTGTTGGGTTCCTCTTCCTGTCTTCTGTTGCTCTGCCAACACTGTATTTTTCCATTGGTTTTAACTGTGTTTGTCCTTACTTGTCGGAGCATTTTAATAATAACTGCCCCAAATCTTTATTTGATGATTCCGGCCTCCATGCCACCTCCGTGTTGCGTCTTAATGTCTTTTCCTGTGTGAGTTTAGCTTTGCCTGTTTCTTTGAATACTGAGTAACTTTAGGTTGTGTCCTTGGTGCACTGAGTATTATGTTCGACAGCAGTGGGTCTTGTTTCAATCCTGTGGAAATGGTTGACTCTCTGGTTTAGCAGGAAATCACTCTAATTGAACTCAGGCTGAAAGTTCCCACCTTCCTTCTAGGCCTGTTCTGCGGGCAGATCTGCCGTCTGAGCTTCCTCAGTAGGAGCTGACCTGGCCTGTGTGTGCCCCTGGGCCAGCCTAAGATCCAGGTCGTCTGTCCGGTTCGGTTCTCCAACCCCGTGTGTCTGTTTAAGTCACATGAACACGGGGTGGCTCAGGGCCGAGACCGGTAGGACTGGTCATCTTCGTAAACGCTTTGTCGAGATACTCAATGTATTTGTTTAGTTTCCTCAGACTCCCCATTTTTGTATCCTCAGCAAGAAAAAAAGTGCTTTTAAAGCCGTTCCAGTGAGCCTGCCTTTGGGACCATGTGGCAAAAGGGCAGACAGAAAAAATGGGGTTTCGTCCTGTTTCCCGAGGCCACAGCTCTGGGATCACAGAGGAGACGCCCTGTCTCTGAGAACGGGGAAGTCTAGTCGGGGCTGGGCTGCCTCGAGTCTGCACCATGGACACTGGAGGGACAGGGGACACCCCCACTGGATGGGCGGTGCCCCGAGACTGGTCATGTCCCCCATTCCACCAGCCATGTCTGCTGGGTGACCAGAGGCCTCCTGGTCTGCGTGGGGTGTGGAGGCAGGGAGCTCCCGCAGTCTCACCCAGGACCAAAGCCCTCTGCATGCGTGTTCAGAAAATAGTATTTCCCATTTTAGCCAGTTTAGAAAAGTAACAATTTAGGACATTAACTAGATTCGCGACATTGTGTCACCTTCACTAGTTTGGGAACTTGTTCATCTGCCCAAGGGAAACTGGACCTGGGAAATCTCCTCCCCTGCTCTGGTGGCCACAGGCTGCTTCCTCTCTCTGGGGTTTGCCCCCTGCAGATCCGAACACCTTCTGGAAGAAGAATTTACGTGCCCGAAAGCACCTATAGCAAGTTCCCCGTGTGTGCATTTGTGCCTTTATGGAATGCCACCCGTTTTCCCCGGAATATTTTGCATTGTTTCTCCCCAGCCCTCTCTTCTTGCTTTGCTTTTCTCTCTTCCTCCTCTTGAACAGCCTCTTTCACTGTCCTTTGAACACAAGCTATAAACCGTAACATCGGGGGGCCTTTGCAGCTTCCGTTCTTAAAAACAAACTCATGCCTGCTGAGTATCTCCCATGTCCCTGCTTCTAAGCACTGCCCGTTTCTCCGCCCTGAAGGCACGCTGTGATTTAGTCTCTAATTTCCCCTTATTATACATCGTGATATTTACAGTGTTCACTTTCATAAATAATGTCGACATTACCTGCCATGCAAATGAACATTTGTGTGTATCTCTGCTTATCTTCTTAGGAGGTGTTTGAGAGTTAGGGTTCAAGGGCAGAGCAGAGCCCCAGTTTATAGACTTGGGACTCTGGCATATCCTAAGTAACATTTCTGGTTTTTGTTTTTGTTTTAGAGTAAGTAAAAAAAAAAAGAAACTTTCAATACAAAGTGCATAAAATATACATCAAAAGTCAGCTCCTAAACCTTCTTATCCTTTGCAAAAGTTTCAAAAACTTGCAACAGATTCTAGGAGTCAGGGGTTGCTGCACTGGCTGCAAAATATACTTGAACTATCCGAATAAACTGCAAATGGAGGCATCAGCGATCTCTTACTGGGATGAAGTGGAGTAGCCCATGTCCACGGAGCTTGAATGCACTTTGGCCTCTCTTCCACCAGCATCCGCCCCAGTCATTTCTCCTGTTGGACAATACAAGCCACGGTCACTCTCGACAAGCACCCTTGACCTTCAGAAGCCCGTGTTGGCGGTGTGGTGACCAGTGGCTGGCGTGTGTGTCTGGAATCTCACTTCTTGAGCTGCCATCAGCTCACGAATCGATCAGGGGAGCTTTCCTGGTGATCTACAGGTTAAGTCTCAGCGCTACCACCACCATGGCCTGAGTTTGATCCCCGGCCAAGGAGCTACCCACATGGTGCAGCAGACTCCCCATCTCCCCGCTGCTCCCCTCAGCAGTGTATTTCAGTAGATCCACCTGTTCTGCTCCCCACTCTGTCTCTGGTGAATCCTCTCACCTCCCCCCAACTCTGGCCTATACCCCAGCTCTTCTGCACACACACACACACACACAATTAAATAAAATAATTTTTAAATTAAAATACATTTAAAAAGAAAAAATAAAACACACAAATGTGTCAGGGAAGCTCTCCCTGATGGAAGCTTTGCCCTACAAATTCCCCTGACCGTCGGATGGGAACTCACTGCCTTGTGATCAGAACTGGACCGTGAAGTGTGACCCACTGGCCAAGGGGTATGGTTGACATGGCAGCTGCCCCCACTGCAGAGGACCCATGTGAGTCTGGGGCCTGTCCCTACCCACCTGGAGGGGGTCTTCAGGGTTGATGCCTGCCCTAGCTAGACTTGAGGAGGTTCACACCTGAGGGGCACATGCCCCCACACCCTCTCTACATCCCTCCTCAAGACTTGCCTCAAAGCCGTTGTGTGTGTGGATCACAAGGTCGAAACTCCAAAAGCAGCTTGGGCTACTTACACCGAAAGAAAAATTAAATGCATAATTAATTAATCCTGTGTTTGCTCTGAACCAGCGATGAGCAGTAACTCTCCAGCCCCTTTCATGTTGTTTTTCTGCAGCAGCCTCTGATTATGTCCCCCCCTTTGCTTTTCTTTGTAGGTTTCAAGACAACAGATGAATTGTGAAAGAGATCAGCTAAGGGTACGTGCGTCTGCTTGTCAATGCTTCCCGGGTCTCGTTTCTGTGCGATAAGCAAAATTTTCCTTGTCTTTCCCAAGACACAGGGTTCTAAATAGCAGGCTTCATCTTAAGACTGGTAGAGTTGGAAATATTTATCCCAGCTAATTTAGTATTGATTGAGCTGGTAAATACAGTATATCTTCCTTTGAAGTGCCATTATAGCAGGTATGGATTTTTTGATTTAGATTCAGCAATAAATACTTCTCTTCTGGAATTTGTTTGACATCATTGTACTCTCTTTATGTACAACACGAGGTCTAAGGAATAACAAAGGTCAAAAGGATGCCGGGCTGCCTTCTCTGCCGGGATGCTGGCTGTCTGCAGAGTGGCCGGGATGTGTGATTTCTCCTCTCTGGGGTGGGAGATCAGCTCCTAAGCAAGGTCATGTTCCAGGAGGATCCACACCCTCCAGAGACCTTCAGTCCCAGTGTTGTTTGTGTGTCTAGGAGAAGGGGGCAGGGTGTAAAGCCTCCTGTGCTGTTGGCCTTCTGGTAAATGAAACTCTGCAGCGCGTGCGTCCCTGAGGCACAGAGAGTGGCCCAGACAGCAGAGCATGCTTTGCTCTAGGGGGAGCTGGGCGGCCTGACTCTGCTTTCCTGGCGTCGTGTGTCTGCTAACCTTCTTGGCACGGGCATGTTCTTTGAAGAAATGTCAGGGTGACCTCTGCCCCCGGTATTTTTTTTTTTTAATGCATTCATGTCTTGGATGGACAGATTTGAAGTCATAATTGGCCTCTTTTTAATGTCACCGGTGGAAGCTGGCAGCTTTTCCTGGATGAGGTGCTTGTGTTCGTGTTTCCACATTCCTGTAAAAACAAGAGGCACGTGCGGTGGGCTGCTTTGAAAACCCTAACCGTGACGTTCGGGGCTGGGGCATGTCGCAAATCAGAATAATTTATTAAGCCCGCCTAGTGCCATTTACCCGCTGCCTTGTCGCTTTCCAGAGCACGCCCCTAACGTTTGTGGGGGGTCTTCCATTCTGCAGCTGCTGTCGGCGGCGTCGGGTCTGTTAAATCCTTAAGTAAAACAAGAACAGAATCCACTTGCGTGGCACCGAGCGAGTGAGTCGAGGTTTTCTTCTGCTCGTATGCATATTTATTTTGTGTACAATCCCAGCACGGCCTTCTCTATTAACCTCTCATCTCTACCCACGTCGCCCCTAAGTGCCTGCGCCTGCATCCGTTGTGACTCCTCCATGAACCAGCCTTCAAGATGTTTTAAGCTTGCCAGAGCTCTTATTGCTTTTCCCCTGCAGTCTGAATTACTGGTTCATCCTAGTAAATAATGTATTGCAACTTCAGATTTCTCTTCCTGTTTGGATGAGGACGATGGCCAGAACTAGGTCAGCGTGAGAGAGGAATAGGCGCTTCTGTCTCCAGGAGTCCCTGGTAGATGCTCCAAAATTAAGGCAATATTGAAATCTGCGAGCCGCAGGAGGCTCACCTGGCGAGTTAAGACACAGGAGGAATGAAAGGCTTGCTGGCAGTTGGAGGGTCTGTTATGTTGCATTGATGGGGACGTGTCGAGAGGGGGCAGTTCAGAGGTGAGAAGGCGCCTCCTTTGCCTGTTACGTGTCTCAGCCACGTTTGACACAATGGACCGTGCAGTTTAACCTAGGGGGTCTCGAGCCCCCAGCCAAGGACTCCCACAGCACCGGCTGGGGTGCTGTTGTAATCTCTGCTTTTATGCGTTAAACTGATTTATGTGTTGGGTCGATAGATGCACATTTACGTGCCAGGTTATACCTTTATGTGGCTGACAACCAAATACGCAAGGGCATGCGGTGAAGGTGTCTCCTCCCATCCAACCTGGCAGGACACACCTGTGCTAGACACACCTCACCTTTGACATCTGTGTCTCACCTGGAGGCATTTTCTGTCTCCTCTTCTTTTCTCTGCTGCTGCCTCTCCCACCCATTCCTCTCCCTCTGTTCCTCTCTAGTCTGTGTTTTTCCTCAGAAGAAAGTGGCCTTGATTAAAGTCATCGGTCATTGCTTTTTTCCCCCGTAGGAGGAAAATTATTTTTTTAGGATTTCTGTAAGAAATTTGGTGCGGATCTGACATGCCAGTACCCAGCCAGCTCAGTGAAATGCTTTTCCCCTTCATCTCATTTTTTTTTTCCTTAGAGGAGAGACAGTGGGAGAAAAATAGGTAACTGTCTAGTGACCAACATCACTTACGGGTTCTGCCTGCCAGCCACACGTTGCAAAACATGTTTTAAACGCAACCATCAAACTGAATTTCCAGATTTGCTGTACAAGATGGTTGGACCATGGCTGGGTGTCAAGTTAGAGTCCTTCATTAGTGCATTCCGTTCTGCTGTCAGAATTCAGAGACAGAGTGGGTGCTTGTAAGACCTCTCCCTTTTTCTTGGTCTCTGGGAAACAGCAGGTAATGCAGAAAGGAGCAGTATTCCTCTCTCCCCTTCCAGCAGGGGGGCAAGAGAAGGGGGCTGCATCTCTTAGACCTGCTCCTCTCCCCCCTTTTTCGTCCCCCACAAATCCTTAATTATTTTGTGCAAAATGAGTTTGCTGAAGTCCTTGTCCTATTCGATTTTACAAAGTCTAAATAAAGATTCACTGATTAATTTTATGAAATACAAAGTTAATGAAAGTCAAACTATTTTTTTTTTTTTTACTTCAGGACTTTTCAGAGTCTTTTCTATATAAGAGTAAAGAACAGAGAGATGATTATTACAGGCAATTTTTTTTTGCACACTCCTCTGATCACAGTGCACTTTTGGATGCGGAACACACGCTGAGAAAGACTGTAAAGTTGTACCCATTTTCAGTTGGGGTATATAATCTGCAAGTTATCGAAAAGCTGAGTGTTATTTAAAGGAAAAACAAAAACAAAAACATGGCATCCCCTCCTAGCCCCGGACTCTGTCCAGTGAATTTCTGGCATCAGGAAGGTGCTTTGGCGGCGTTGGCCTCTCCCTCCTGCTCCCCAGATGCTTTCTTGTTCCCAATGGCACTTCCTAGCAGAACAACACCCTGCATGGGAGGGAAGCAGAAAAGGAGCCTTTTCCTCCTAGTGTATGTTGGAGGGATCGTTCCCAGAGCCCTTCTCTGCAGAATTTCTCTTGTGTGTCATTGACCAAGCTCTACGCACTGACCCGGAAGCTCCGCGATTGTCTGCAGCGGAGAGTTTCATCCCAGGGAAGGCACGTTGGCTCCTCAACAGAACAGAAGTTCCTTGGCTGGGAGGAAAAGGAGAATGTCTTCTTGAGCCTGCCTCAGAAGGGAGCCACTGGTCCTCCACGTGGCCAGCGCATGCTGTGGAGCCCAGCGTGGCCTGTGCTAGGCTGGGGGCTCAGCTCCGATGCACCCTCTGGCAGCCTCACACCTGCAGGCCTGGCCCCTCCCTCTGGAGCTGGCCAGCATGGCGGTCTCTGGGTCTCTGTGTAGTTCGCCTCCTGGCCTTTGGGGCTGTCTGTGCATGTTTCCCTCAGTGGCACCCACAGCACCTGTCCCACCACCCAGCTCAGCCCCCGAGACACAAAGGCACCACCAAGCAGGAGTTCCCAGTTGCCCCCTGAGTGGCACTGATGGGGCGGTGGTTGTGGCCCAGACACCCTCCTGCACCACTCCAGCTTCTGCAGTTGGCGGGGGAAGGGGGTGGACAGGAATGGCGTGTCGTGAGCAGCCCGTGGTGTCTCTCCATGGTCTGCAGACGCCACTAATGGTCAGACCTGGGGCAGGGTCCTGGGGCAGGGGTGAAACTCACACAGTGTTTGGCTACAGAGGACTCTTCTGGGCTGTGAGCATCAGATGCTGGTTTGGCTGTTGTTCTACACCCTGGGTCAGGACACCACTAAGCAGGGAAAGCCTTGGCTTCCGGGTGGGTCAATACCTGTTCTCGGTCAGAAATCCTTATTGGCGATTTTAACAGGTGTTCCCCACGGGATGGGGGGTCAGGAGCTCTGGTTAGGCACTCAGTTTCCTGTCTCAGTTCTAAATGCTCCCAAAGTTCCAGTTTTCCTGGGTGTAAATGGGGACGCTTTCCTCGCATCCTGCTGGCCGGGTGGAATGGCTTGTGTAAAGCAAAACAGCTGCTCACTTAGTTAAGCAAATAGCAGGCCGGGTTCAGGCAGCCTGAGCAGAGGGGTGGGCAGCCCACCCCGCAGGATGGCCACAGAGTGGGGGTGCTGACAGGCCAGCCAGCATTTATAACCTCCTTTGCTTTTCCTTGTGGGTCACAGTGGATATTTCTTTTGAAAAAGGTTCCTTTTTCCCTTTTGCAGGTGTACCTGGCACCTCCCAGTCTCTAAGATTCCTATGCACCAGCCCCAGCAGGGGCACATTCTAATGCAGATTCCTACAAGGAGGAATCCAGCTGCCCCCACTCCCTGCAGCTCCCTGCTCCCCACCACTGTGCCAGGAAGCAGAGAGTAAATAAACAGGGGAGATTCCACTGCTGGGAGGGGCCTGTTGCCAGCTGAGTAAATACCCCAAAGATGCCAGTATCCCCTCCAGATGTGGAGATCAGGGTCCAGCAGGATCCCCTGCGCCCCACCTACAGGACACCTGCCCACCCACCGGTAGCCTCATTTTCCTGGGTGGCGCTTACAGCCTTCAGGAGGTGAACACCTAGTCATGGGGGGCAGCGCTGAGAGGGGCTCCCCTCCCCATTCGGTTCTGGGTTCTGTCTCCAGCCTTTCATGCCATGAGAAACTGACACTTGAAACTAACATATCTTTAACTAGTGTCTAACACAGCCTAAGCGCTCTTTACAGGGAGGGAGTGCGCCTCGGGCTCAGTGCCTGCAGCAGCCAAAGCATTTACCTAGACTTCAAAAATAGTGTTTGTAAAATACAGTAGTTAAGAACGAGGGGCCTGGAGCGAGGCCTTCTGAGCTGGCGTCTGGAGACTGCAATTGACTTTGTGTGAGTTTCTCTAGTCCCCTGTGCTCCAGTCCCTTCTGTGTGAAAAGGAGACAATAGTGGTGTTTCCTGAGTTGT